ACAGGACCCTCCCAACAATGGCCAGATAATGAATAAGCGGCGGCGAAAGCACATTAGAGAAGGTCCCTACACAAAAGTGACTGCAACATTACTTGAAGGAGTACTTCGAGTACACTCCAGGAGTGCTCCGGGCTTTTGTGAGGCTGGGCAAAGGGTTTTCTGGTTGAAGTCCAAAGACTCAGCCTGTCTGTTGGCAAATTGTTCCTCGGCGGAGGTTTGATCATGAACTGGAAGAGCTGTGACGCTTGTAGTAGTCTGCATGCAGTTCTCAGGTTTGAGAAGCTTCGTTTCTTCTACCATGTGCTGCCTTCACCACCTAAGTGAGAGGAGCTTAGTTTGCCTAATTTCCAGATGGCTGAGGATGACCAGGCTGATGCTGTGTTCTGATGGCTAGCGAAGTTTGCAATTTACCACGAACCCACCACATCCCGCCGCCTGGAACTGGCAATGTTGTCCACAGAATGAAGCCCCTCCACCAAAGGGGCTTGATAGGAAACTCTGCGCCTTTGCCTTCCTACCTGTTTGTTTTTTCGGCATCTCTTCCATATGGGAGTTTCTCAAAACGATCACTATATAGAATCATTACAGGGACTCCATATCCCTTTTTAAATCCCACTGCTACTGTATTTGAGAAAACCGCTGATCAGCTGGGAGGCCTGCGCATTTGGACTCCCTCACCTTCACTTTGCAGCCTGTCTACGGGTCAGTAGCTAGGTAGAGGAATGGAGCTTTGTTGTAGTTCGTAGATAATGCCCAATGATATGCGAGTTTCCAAAAAAAGGCGGTCTATTCGTGGGAGTCCCTGTCATAAGGCTTTAGGTAGATGGGGTCTTTATTGGGGCCCACGCACGCCAGTTACATGGCAATTTCCTTTTGCTTGTGCTTTCTTCCCTGTTCCGCCACCAATAAGGCAGCCTGTCTACGAGCGCAAGATGGGCCAGCTGGCAGCAGCTACAGGGGAATTATGTAGGCGTATCTAGGCTTTCTCGAAACCACAAGAGAACTCTGAAAAAGTGCCGAAGGACTGTTCTATTGTGTTGTATAAGCCACACCCTGTGTTGCTGGGGCTGGGCTCGTCATTCCGGGGCACGTTGCTTGCTCCTGGCCTGGGTTTTTGGTCCATGTGCACCAAAAAGCAAGGTTTTCACCCTATATAGGCCGAGGCGGACTCGCCTGACTGGGGTTTGTTGGGTTCTCGCGTTCAATCACAGCTTAGACGCATGGAACCAACATTTTTTCCTTTCCTTCTGCATGCCCCCGCCCATATGCCTCCCTGTGATGCCAGCTTACGAGGAACCGCAGCCAGAATGCAGTTCGTTGCTGCCTTACCTGAAGTACAGCCAAGGTGTGAAATTCATCTGGGGAGAGGTGAAGGAGCTGAATGGCGACAGGAAGACAGCCACCATCAAGACCATGTTCTCCAACAACATGGATGAGATCGGCTTTGACTACTGCATCATCTGCTCAGGCCCATAAAGCAGTCAGAGCAAAAGAAGCTTACCAAATTGAAGCCATTGCAAGCTTTAGTGAGATGTGTATTCACTCCTGCGAGGCTGCAACTTTGGACCATTCAAGCCCATGGGCGAGAGCTTGTGGTTCCCGACTGTGCATGAGGATGGCCGGGCCGTCAGCGACTGGAAGCACATTGACGAGCGCTTCCTGGAGGGCCGCCGCCGCCACGTTCTTGAGGAGTACCAGAAGCTCCAGGACCTGAATCTTGACTTTCAAAATGGCTCCGCAATTTTTTTTTGGAACTCGGTCTCAGCTTACACAAGCCCTAATGCGGTTCAGACGCCTAAGACAAGAAAGTCATGTTCAGACACAGAGTCCCAGCAGTTACCAGCCACCTAGGAACAAGAAGAAGGCCACGGTTCTCATCGTTGGCGCCGGCTTCATCGGTGTTGAGTGGGCCACGGAGATTGAGCACTTCTTCCCGGACGTCAAGTTGACCATCATTGACTTTTTGCCCCGCTGCCTGGGACCATTGCCAGACAGTGCCGCCGATTACTGCTCAGAGTACATGAATGCTTGCGGCATCAAGGAGTTCTACAGCTGCGGCTACGATCCCAAGAACCCGGACTTCTGGAAGAAGGTTGAGCTTCCCAACGGCGCGGACGAGACATACGTGTGCATTGGAGTTAAGGCCTCCAACTACTTCATGCCCAAGTGCACCTTGTCTGACAAGGGCCCTGGTGGAGGTGGCTGGATCCACTTCAACAAGCACCTGCAGGTTACCAAGAAGCCGTCTGAGGGAGGAGGTGTCTGGGCTGATGGCAGCATCTTCGCTGTGGGTGATTGCAATTACGGCTGCATTGGCGAGCCGGGCAAGTGGGAGATGCCCCCAGTGCCAAAGATTTCCTACCCCGGTGAGGAGCAGGCCTACCATGCCTGCCTCAACGTCATGCGCCTGGCCGCTTTGATGAGCAAAGTCCCCTAAGCCCTTAAACCTCCTGAAGCTCCAGGAAGCTCTCCAGCGCTCTGCTGTGCATGCCTCTTACACTTAGCAATGCACGCAGCGCCCAGCTCAGGCCAAGGCAAACAAGAACCTTGTGACTACCTGGTGGCCTTGGGGTGCCGGTATGTTCGCCACGAGCCTTGACCTACAAGGGGCACAGGGGAAGGGGTGCCGGGTCAGCAAGGCAAGTCCTGTCGACCCATTCCATCTCATGCAGCCTAGGAGCTTGGGTCCCCATGATGCCTGCTTCGTTGTTGCGGCCAACGAGAACAAAGGCCACTATACATGTTTCGCCATGTGCGTGCTGGCTGCTTATAGCTTGTAACAGCTCCTGAGCTTGTCCCTCAGGCTCGGGCTACATGGTGAACTGGTGGATCCCGGCGGCTCTCCAGAAGGAGATCATCGAGACCACCAAGATTGATGAGTGCCGTGACCGCTGGATTGGCATCTTGATCTGGCACTTTGTGCACCACACCCCGGTCCACCTCTTTGGCCGTGGCCCTTGGTTTGTCTAGATCCGAAATTCCATGTAGGTGCCACCCCCGCGATGCTGCGCGGTCTGTTTAAGATGTCCGGGTCTACCAGAGGAGTGACCACCCAACAAACCATTCGCTTTTACCTCTGGGAGCAGGACGCGCTTGTGTGAGCGAGTCAAAAATGTTGGCCGTGCAAGCTCGACTGCATGTGGCCGGCGATGGATTCGTGATCATTGTTCATGTGTGCCACGAGCGCCGGTAAGACGAAGATGCAACTGTGCTGATGATACGCCAAGGCCTGCTCCGCAAGCGCCGATGCCTGGGCCCTAAAGTTCTGTTGTTGGTATCGTCTTTTTGTGCCCATTTCTGGGTATCACATGGGACTGCAGGCTTCCATGATCTTCCATGCCCCTGTAAGATTGCTGCAAGAGCTGCCATGCCACAGTACTGCTTTGACATGGATCGCTGGAGGCATTTTGCTCACTTACTAATTGTGCCCGTTCCAGCCTGATTTCGACTCCCCGTCTTTTCCTCAAACATGGCTAGCTCCGATTCCATCGTGAAGGTCGCCGCCGTGGGGGTTGTGGGTGCTGCCGCAGGAGCCGCTCTAGCATTGGCCGCAACGAAGGGCCCTGCCCCTGTGGAGAAGCCGAAGAAAGTCGTTCTCGACCCCCGGATCGCAGCTGCCTTGGAGGCCGCTCGTGCCGAATGTGGTGAGGGCAAGTGGGGTCCAGATGATGGCGCCACCGCCACTGCCTGGGTTGCTTATCAGATGTCGGACAATGCGTTCATTTTCCCCATCACGCCGTCCACGCTCCTTTCCGAGATGTGCGACACTTGGTCCGCAGGTGGCGTCCAGAATGCTTTCGAGCAGGTGACGAAGATCACTCAGCTGCAGTCTGAAGCCGGAGCTGCAGGTGCCATGCATGGCGCACTTGCTGTGGGCGGTCTGGCCACGACCTTCACAGCTTCCCAAGGACTTTTGCTGATGGTCCCGAACATGTACAAGATTGCAGGAGAGTTGACCCCCTGCGTGATGCATGTAGCAGCGCGCGCTGTTGCGGGACAGGCCCTCAGTATTTTCGGGGATCAGAACGACATCCAAGCCGTGCGGTCGACTGGCTTTGCTATCCTTTTTGGAAGCACTGTCCAGCAGGCCCTTGATTTTGCCCTTGTCTCGCACATTGCCACCCTGCGTTCCCGGGTTCCGTTCGTTCACGCCTTCGACGGCTTCCGCACGTCCCATGAGATCCAGAAGATCCAGGCCTACCCGAAGGAGATCTTCCAAAAGGTTGTGGACCTCTTGGCACCGGAGATCGATGCTCACCGTTCCAGAGCATTGAATCCGAACCATCCGCATGCGCGTGGCACCGCGCAGTGTGATGACATTTATTTTCAAGCGGTGGAGGCCGCGAACAAGTACTACTTGGATGTTCCAGAGATTGTGGCGGAGGCTTTCCTATGGATTGAGAAGCTGAGCGGCCGCAAGTACACGCTCTTTGAGTACGTTGGCAGTCCCCGTGCCAAGTACGTTTTGATCCTCATGGGCTCCGGCGCCGGAGTCGTGGAGGAGTACTTGGCCAAGATGGGTGACAAGGCCAAGGATTGCGGCTGCCTCAATGTCCACCTCTACAGGCCCTGGAGCGAGAAGCACTTCTTGGCTGCCTTGCCGAACCTCTCCGGCCTCCGGGCCGTGGCCGTATGTAACAAGATGAAGGACCCTGCGGCCCATGGCGAGCCCTTGTACCTGGACGTTTGCACCTCCCTTCAGCGAGCCAAATGCAACGCCAACGTCATCAATGGCCGCTACGGTCTGTCTAGCAAGGACTTCACCCCTGGCATGGTGGAAGCCATCTATAACAACCTTCGGTCCAGGAATCCGAAGCATCCTTTCACGGTGGGCTTGGAGGATGATGTGACCCACTACTCTCTGCCTTTCGACCGCCTGGAGACCGTTCCTACCCACACCAAGCAGTGCATCTTCTGGGGTTTCGGAAGTGATGGAACCGTGGGGGCAAACAAGAACACGATCAAGATCATTGCACAGAACACGCCGCTTTACGCACAGGGCTACTTCAAGTACGATGCCCTGAAGTCAGGCGGTGTGACCATTTCGCACCTCCGTTTCGGCCCCGAGCCGATCAAGGGAAGCTACCTCATTGATGCTGGGTGCAACTACTTGGCGATCCACAAGAAGGAGTATATCTTCAGCTTCTTCGCTGACTTGATGCTGGGACCCCTTGCGGATGGAGGCACTCTGGTGCTGAACTGCCCCTGGACCGATGCGGAGATGGAGACGGTGCTTCCAGCCCCCTTCCGCAAGATCATCGGCGAGAAGAAGCTGAAGGTCAGCGCCATCGATGCTAGCGCAGTTGCCAAGCGAACAGGCATGGGCAAGCTCATCAACAACATCATGACGGCAGTCTTCTTCGAGCTTTCGGGCGTGTTGCCCACAGAGCAGGCTTTGTCCCTACTCAAGGACGCCGTGAAGAAGACCTACAAGAACAAGGGTGATGCCATTGTGAACCAGAACATCAAAGCTGTGGAGGCCGCAATCGAAGCCCTGCGAACTGTTGAATACAACCCTGCGGTCTGGGCTGGACTTGAATCGGACCCCAACGTGGTCTACGCCAAGACCCGTGCGGAGACTCCGCCCGCGTATGTCACCGATGTCTTGGACAAGGTGCAGACGATGCGCGGTCATGAGCTGAAGGTGAGTGAGGTGGAAGCCGATGGCTGCGTGCCGCTGTCGCAAACACGCTATGCCAAGCGTGGCGTGGCTGAGTCCGTGCCAGTTGTTGACATGGACAAGTGCATCCAGTGCAACGTGTGCAGCGCCATTTGCCCTCACGCTGTGATCCGACCCTTCCTGCTCTCGCATGCTGAGCTGAAGCAGGCTCCGGAAGCCTTCGACGCGCGAAAGGCAACAGGCGGAAACACCTACGCTGGACTTCACTTCCGCATTCAGGCCTCGCCAAACGACTGCACAGGATGCGAGGTTTGCACCAACGCCTGCCCTGTTGGAGCTCTGTCCATGCTTCCACGCCTGGAGTCCATCGACAAGGGCCATGGTGACAACTGGGACTATGCCATGAGCATGCCGAATCGCGGAAAGCGATTTGACGCCAACACCCTGAAGGGTTCTCAGTTCCAGGAGCCTCTATAGTATATTGCATTCCGATTTAAGAAAGCACCAGTGATAGACTTACGGGGGGGGGGGGCATGGTAGGGAATCAGGAAATGTGTTATATAGGGATTATCTAGGGATTATATTCCCTTATTCCCTACTGAGCGCCAGTCAGTGAGACAGTCCGATAGCACAGTCACACCAGGAGCCTCTCCTTGAGTTCTCCGGCGCCTGCGAAGGATGCGGTGAGACTCCTTATGCCAAGCTGGTGACGCAGATGTTCGGCAAGCGCCTCATCGTTGCGAACGCCACAGGCTGCAGCAGCATCTGGGGCGGCACCGCCGGTTGGGTTCCGTACGCAAAGGACAAGGAGACTGGCAAGGGAACTGCCTGGGGCAACTCGCTGTTTGAGGACAACGCTGAGTATGGGCTTGGCCAAGTCATCCATGTGCGCCAGCGACGTCGCCAGCTTCGCGATCGCGTTGAGGCCGCGCTTGCAAGGGCCGGCAAGTCCCTGAGCGTGGCCTTGAGGAGCCTCCTGGAGCAATGGCTGGAATTCGGCGAGGATAGCACCATCTCGGAGCGCCTCAGCGACGAGATTTTGCCGCTGCTGGATGCGGAGCAGGGCAAGGCCAAGGAGATTGCCGAGCTTATCCGCCTGAAGGACATGTTCACCAAGCCTTCCATGTGGATGTTCGGAGGCGACGGATGGGCAAACGACATTGGCTATGGCGGCATCGACCACGCCATCGCCAGTGGAAACAACGTCAAAATCGTGGTTCTGGACACGGAGGTGTACTCCAACACTGGTGGACAGTCCTCGAAGTCGACTCCCATGGGAGCTGTGGCCAAGTTTGCCCAGGCTGGCCGCGATCAGCGCAAGAAAGACCTCGGAGCCATGGCAATGGCCTACCAGCACGTCTACGTTGCTTCCGTGGCCATTGGCGCCAACTACAAGCAGTGCGTCGAGGCATTTACGGAGGCTGAGAAGTACGATGGGCCTGCCCTTCTGATGTGCTACGCCCCCTGCATTGAGCATCGCTTCTTCAAGACAGGCCTTTCGGCGATGTCTCTTGACCAGCGCGACGCCGTCGAGTGCGGCTACTGGCCTCTCTACCGCTTCAACCCTTCCCTTGCTCGCGCGGGAGACAACCCCTTCATCCTCGACTCGAAGAAGGTCACCGGAGACGTCATGAAGTTCTTGAATCGCCAGAACCGATACGCCCAGCTTGTGAGGAGCTCTCCTGCCGTGGCTGAGAAGCTTCAGGGAGAGCTGCAGGTCTACCTCAAGCAGCGCCATGCCAGCCTCAAGCAGAAGGCATCCGAGCTATCCCAGGATGTGGCCGCGCTCAAGGACGGCCTCAAGCAAGCCAACTCCGTCGCGGAACCTGTCCTCATCGCCTTCGGCTCGGACACAGGCGTGACTGAGCAAGTGGCAAAGAAGTTCGCAGGTCTGTGCGCTGAGCGCGGAGTTCAGGTGCGACGCACCTGCGACCTGGATGAGATCAGCGACATGGAGGAGCTGAAGGCGGCGGCCCTCGGTGCCACCTGTGTGGTGATGTGCTCCACCTGTGGTCACGGCGACTTCCCACAGAATGCTGGCCTTTTCTGGAGCAGCCTTTCTTCCAGCACTCTGGCACCGAAGGAGCTTGACGGCATTCGCTTCTGCGTCTTTGGCATGGGTGACCGCTCCTATCATGACTCCTTCTGCGAGGCCGCCAAGAAGATTGAGGAGCGCATGAAGCAGTTGGGCGCCACGCGCATCTTGGAAATGGGCATCGGCGACGACCGCGACGAGGACAAGTGGGAGACAGGTTTCACTGCCTGGTTGCCCAAGTTCTGGGCAACCATCAAGGCCCCCGAGCCGGTGGATGACGGCAGGCCCAAAACACCGCTCTTCGAGGTCAAGTACCACGAGGGAGCTGCCTCGGTCACTGCCCCCATGGTGCCACCGGGATCCCAGCTCTTGACGGTCACGGAGAACAAGCGTCTTACCCCGAACGAGTACGAGCGAGACATCCGGCACTTGGCCCTAAGCCTCGAGGGTGTGGACTTCCCATTCGACCTGGGCGATGCGGTCGCACTCTACCCGGAGAATCTTCCCAAGGACGTTGATGAAGCACTGAAGTTCCTCGAGTTGGATGGCGACAAGGTCATCAGCGTGAAGTGCGTCGGAGACGTCTCGGAGCGCCATCGCCGCTGCTTCGACCAGCGAGTGACGGTCCGACAGGTGCTGACGAACATGCTCGACCTCTTCGGTCGCCCCTCGCGCTCCTTCGTGACGGATCTCGCACGCTTCGCCAACAACGCTGACGCAGAGGCTCTTCGCCGATTGGGCTCCCCGGCTGGAACCGCAGCTTGGACCGCTCTGGTGGATGAGTGCCCGTCCTTCTTCGACATCATGAAGAAGTATCCCAGCGCAAAGATGCCACTGGAGCAGCTGATCTCGGTGCTGCCGATGATCAAGCCAAGAATCTACTCGATTGCCTCGGATGCGCGATACAGCCCGAAGGCGGTAGAGTTCACCATTGTCATCAACCAGTGGAAGTCCAAGGCCACGGGTGCCGTGAAGACAGGCACCTGCACCAAGTTCATCCAGCACATGCCGGTCGGAAGCAAGGTGCCATGTGCCGTCGTCTGCGGTACCTTCCAGTTCCCCAAGGACGAAACGACGCCCATGGTGATGGTTGGCCTCGGAACCGGTATTGCACCTATTCGCTCCTTCATGCAGGACAAGCTGTACAAGAAGAACCACGGCATCAAGACCGGTCCCATGGTCGTCTTCTACGGCTGCCGACATGAGAAGGAAGAGCTTCTCTACAAGGACGAGTGGAAGATGTACGAGAAAGAGGGCATTTTGACCGCTCTCGTTGGTGCCTTCCAGTTCGACAAGCCCCACTACCCTCCCAAGCAGATCTTCGTGTCGGACAAGATGGCGGAGCGACCCGAGCTCATCAGCGACAATCTGTTGGAAAAGGGCGGCTACTTCTTCATGTGCGGTCCGGCCGTGGCCACCCCTTCCGTGCAGAAGGCGCTCAAGGCTGCCCTCGTCAAGCGTGGACAGAGCCATGCCCCATCCCAGGCCGAGAAGGATATGTGGCCCTCGGTGTGCCCCAAGACCGACTCCGAAGCGGATATGTGGTTCAAGGACTTCATGGCTGCGGGACGTTACTCGGAGGAGTCGTACTAAACTCCTTCTTGCAGAGGGCGCACTATGCGCTCAGGTTCCAAATAAACGACAGTTTCAAAGAAGTCTTGGCCTGGGATCTGTTTTTGAAACCCAGAGCCTGTTCCAAAAGTCTTCTGCTGCAATTCGTTCTACGCAACCTGCCGCCAACCCGGCAAGCACCGCAATGTTGTGCGTGCGCTAGCGGATGCTCAGCTGACCCTAAAGAGCACGTGCATCCACGTACTGAAGCAAATTGCCCCAAGCAGACATCAAACATGAAATCTGCAAAGAATACTCTACATCAAAAGATGACAAGATCGTCAGTGGCTCAAATTCAAGAGCCAATCCTCGCACAGCGTCATGTGGGGTACGTGCAGCGTCATGCGAGCAGTGGTTTTGTTTTTGCATGTTTTTGAAAAATTCGAGACCGTGTAGAAGGGCTGTAGTGGCCCTATAGGTTTCTCTCATCAGGACTTTGCGAGCAGCTGGCTGCAGTAGATGAACACCTCAGGGCACTAGCACCGAGCAGAATTCATTCTCCAAGATCAGAAGCCCTACAGCACTGTGTGGCTAGTATGTGCCGTGCCTTGATAATGCCGCAGCAAATGCCCAGACATTAAGATGTTACCCCTAAAAAACTCTGAAGCCTACACTACGTGTCATCTCCCCTCCGTTTCGGGCATGCGGCGGCGTCGTTGCATCCTTGGATCGGTCTCCACGCATGGAGGTTGCAGATGCTTGCGGGGTAATGCTGACTGCTAAGTGATATGCGTAAAGTCTTTCAGCTCAAGACTTTAGACTTGCAGACTTTGGGTGAGCACCCCCGCAACGGCGTCTGCTGAAGAATAGCTTGAAAAGTCGCTGTAGGTGGCTGAGCGAAACCGCATAGCCCCAGCAGCAGATCTTTTGAGGACGTTGGATTCTGATTGCGGTGGTTTGAGGGAACTGTCCCTCGCCTACCTGATCGAGGGTGAGCCAGGCATAAACAAACGCGGAGAAAAGTTGCTGCCGTGCTTGCTGTGAGCGATGCGCGTGTCTAAACCGTAAACCCCAGTTGCTGTGCGACGCGTGTGTCTAAACCCTACACCCTTTCTTGAAGGTGGGAGACCGCCAAGCACTAAAAGTAAAGTCTTTCCCTCCTTATCTAGTCAGCATGGTGCAGTTGCTGTGCCTTTTTTGTCGCTTTTCGCTGACCACCAACCAACAATGCCTAGGACTTTAGCTCCTGCTGCTGGCTCTTCAGCATCTACTCAGGCATGCAGTGGTTTCGATCGAGGGACACTACAGGGGTGTGCCTTTGCTCAGTTTGGCGGTTTTATAGGGTGGAGCTTGTTCAAGGTAGGTTTCAAAGCGCAATGGTCCATACATGTCTTAAACGTTGGTCATGTTGGTCTCTAGAGCCAAGTTCCTAGTGTTTGTGTGGTTCCCAGTTTTAAGATCGCTTGTCGGCTGCTCCTTCTAACTCACTCTCCTTTGTGATTTGCCATTGCCATGGCTGCCATAGCAATCATGATGGAGATTCAATCCGGCACTTCTTCGATGAACACATCTCCTGGTTGCATTGTGCTTGGATGCTCATGAGAATTTCAGAACTACGTACTTATGCCAAAGAAGTAGCGAAGTATAGACTAAGTTTGAGGGGCCTATAGCAAATACCCCGATTATGGCCCCATAGCCGCTATAAGAAGCTTCAATCCAGCAGGGTAGTTTTGTAGTTCTTCAGTTTCACGCTACTTCATCCTGTGGCTGCCTAGGTAAGAATAGCCAAGCTATATCCTTCAGTCCCTTCTCGTTACGACTATACATAGTAGTTTCCCAAAATAGAGAAAACCAATGTAGACCCTAAGTATTGTAGTCCTTGTTATGCGACCCCAAAAGGTACCCCTAATTTTGGGAAGCCCCCGCATAACCATAGTGTCTCGTAAGGATCCGGTCACCAGGACGCGTTAATCCTATCGCAGGAGCCATCAACGTCAACAGGTCCCGCACGACCTACGTGCCAGGCTTACTGAGAAGCTCTAAAGTCGTGCTTCTTCAAGATTTACTGCAGAAAAAGTAAGCTTTGCAGCCTCTCCCTGCTGATAAGACATAGTTCCATTTCTCAGTCTTCACAGGAGGTAGTAAACAGATTTGGCTTGCCCGTACATGTCCAAGCACACTGTTGCAAAAGAAGCCGTAACTTGGCAGTCCGACTGTGGGGTATCTGCGCATCTTATGATAATATAGGGCAATTCCATCCTCTACCTACTTAAGGGCGGCTATCCCCCTCCAACCAGCTCGGCCAGTCATCGAACTGTGAGACCAAGGCTGGACTCACTATCTTCATCCGATGTGCAGCACCCAGTTATGTAGGAATTATGCCTTTAAGCGATTTCAAGTTCCAGTGCCCATGCCGGAGTGTAATCAAATGGGGTATATGTATACATGTATAGGAAAATGGAGATGGCAAATGACATGGAAACTTCAATATATGAGAAGGGACATGTGACTTTACAAAGATTAGGCGGTCCCCCCATTTATGGAAGCAACCAAATGTTTTCTCCCAAAGCTGTGGGGCGCTCTGGTCTTTTGATAGTCACTGTATTTTACCCAGGGTTTCCAGGATACACTCATTTCGAGGAAGCCCCTGCCTCTGCTGGCAGGGCCGAGAGACGTGGGACCCGTGCTGAATCGTAGGCTTGTTCCAAAAAAATGCCAGGGACCTTTTATGGAGGATAACAGGGCCCAAAATCGTGTGCAGATCTCATTTTCACTCGAGATCCTTGATTCCTCTCATAGGTCATAGGGAAGTGAAAGTTGGTTTCACACGTGAAGCTTTGAAGTTACACGTCGGCTTCTGGCTCACCTCAGTACTTCCCGTGAGAGTCACACACCAGGCTGGCGGACGTGACAATGTGGTACCGCTCACAGGCACGCACTGCAGCGCGCAGGGGTATGGCATAAGTGTTGACAAGGTGCCGTAGATAATCTAATCAGCGCTGTTCTCGCAGAGAGGACCATAGTCGCTAATCGAGATCGAAATTCTGAGGATGATAGGAACATGACGAGGACTCATTCCTCCCAGAGCAATCAGCGGGCATCCCTTGGCATAGCTCAGCTTCTCCAAGTTCTACTACTGGCTACATTTGTTCTTAATTCTTAATGCACGAAGGGGTGGGAGTGGGTGAGGCAGAATTTGCTTGTTTTATTGCCCTGTCGTAGCAGTAGCGGCAGAAGGCAGAGTGGGAGGACCAGCACCACTAGCATTGTGGTGGTAGCAGCAGAGCAAGTACTACTAGCTCACAAGCAGTGGAGTGGCAGCCTCAGTAGGAGTGTATGGTTTGTTGCTGCAGTTACAGTAGGGAGAGTGGGGTTGCTAGGATGGCAGCAGTTCTTGTGCCAAATGCTCCCTGCTGTTTCAAGTTCATGAACTGCCTCCTCCATCGGCACGGCCCCTCCCAAGACGACAGCAACATGGGAGCCCTTCAAAACAACTTCGCTACACTACACTACGGGGCCCTAGCTCCCTAAATCCCGACCTTCAAAGCCTAAGTCCTAAACCTTGCGCGCTTACGCATCCCAACCTTGTCGCTGTCCCAGATTGTTGCCTCACGCTGCCCCTGTAGCCCAGTGATAAAAAGTGGTAGAATCGGAAAACTATAGGGACTTTCATGCAATTACCAGTATTCCTTGTGGTCACGATTAATTCAAGGGGTCAACCCCTCAACAACATCTGGGTTGCTGTTAAGGAACTTAAATTAAGTTACTATATTGGGTAAACCCTATTATTTACTATATATACCCATTATGGTAACTTAATTTAACCCTAAACCCATTGGGTAACTTAATTTAAGTTCC